AGCGTCACCCTCGATACTCCATGGGTTACGCTCACTCAAGCCCTCTGCACTGTGAGCGTCACCCTCGATACTCCATGGGTTACGCTCACTCAAACCCTCTGCACTGTGAGCGTCACCCTCGATACTCCATGGGTTACGCTCACTTAAGCCCTCTGCACTGTGAGCGTCATCCTCGATACTCCAGAGGTTACGCTCACTCAAGCCCTATGCACAGTGAGCGTCATCCTCGATACTTCATTGNAAAAATAGGGGTGGGGGTAACTAAAATCGACTTTCTGAGTTAAAAGAATAAGATTAAGAAATTTTCCTTACATAATTTAAAAGAAAATATTATTTTTATCAATTCTACAAACATTCATACATATCTGATAACACACTTGGAGGAAATTGTATGAATTTGTTCCGCAAATGGTCAAAACCCAAAAAAACACCTAAAATCACATGTTGTTTTAAATTGGTATCTTTGACCGATCATAGCACAAAAACNGTTACGCTCAATCAAGCCCTTTGCACTGTTAGCGTCATCCTCGATACTCCATGGGTTACGCTCAGTCAAGCCCTTTGCACTGTTAGCGTCATCCTCGATACTCCATGGGTTACGCTCAGTCAAGCCCTTTGCATTGTGAGCGTCATCCTCGATACTCCATGGGTTACGCTTAATCAAAGCCATTTGCATTGTGATCGTAATCCCTGGACTTTGTTTATCATGAAGACAGCACGCAATGCTGGGGGAAGGGAAGCAATCCTGGTAGGATCAGTAGCGGTGTTTTCTAATTCATATTCAATTCAATTCAATATACTTACATTCTTGATGGTTGTTCTGTATATCTAGCAACTGAAAACAACTGCCATTAGACTATGAATACACTATGAATACAACGATTCTCGAGCAACCAAGTCAGCTGATTTTACACACGAGCACTTCATATATATTACTACGCATAGTACCGTTTCTGAGAATAGTTAAAATAATAATAAACATAACAAAAATCATGAATTGTGCACCATTGTTCTATTATTATCATTCTTTCTAATTTAAAACTAAAAAAATATATACTTATAACATTATCATATTTAATACTGACTTCCGACTCGCAATCGGTTCCTCGTGGTCACGAACTTTCTAACTCCCAAACGTCCGGCTGGGTAATCCCCGTGACATTAACTTGCACATTAAACTCAAGAGAACTTTGTAATGATACAGGGCACTTCATCAGAAAGAACGTTTAATTTACTCTGATTGTGAAGATGAACATGAACATGAAGATGATGATAATAAAGTTCTAACAGATGTACCGTATCTCGATCTTCTGTATTCCAAAATTGTACAGGGTGCTACAGCAGGGTGCTACAGCATGGTGCTACAGCAGGGTGCTACAGCAGGGTGCTACAGCAGGGTGCTACAGCATGGTGCTACAGCAGGGTGCTACAGCAGGGTGCTACAGCATGGTGCTACAGCAGGGTGCTACAGCAGGGTGCTACAGCATGGTGCTACAGCAGGGTGCTACAGCAGGGTGCTACAGCATGGTGCTACAGCAGGGTGCTACAGCAGGGTGCTACAGCAGGGTGCTACAGCATGGTGCTACAGCAGGGTGCTACAGCAGGGTGCTACAGCATGGTGCTACAGCATGGTGCTACAGCAGGGTGCTACAGCAGGGTGCTACAGCATGGTGCTACAGCAGGGTGCTACAGCAGGGTGCTACAGCATGGTGCTACAGCAGGGTGCTACAGCAGGGTGCTACAGCATGGTGCTACAGCAGGGTGCTACAGCAGGGTGCTACAGCATGGTGCTACAGCAGGGTGCTACAGCAGGGTGCTACAGCATGGTGCTACAGCAGGGTGCTACAGCAGGGTGCTACAGCATGGTGCTACAGCAGGGTGCTACAGCAGGGTGCTACAGCATGGTGCTACAGCAGGGTGCTACAGCATGGTGCTACAGCATGGTGCTACAGCAGGGTGCTACAGCAGGGTGCTACAGCATGGTGCTACAGCAGGGTGCTACAGCAGGGTGCTACAGCATGGTGCTACAGCAGGGTGCTACAGCATGGTGCTACAGCAGGGTGCTACAGCAGGGTGCTACAGCAGGGTGCTACAATCAATTTCTCACAAACCCTGCTTTACATGGTGTTTTTTTTTTATATAAACACAGATTTTTTTTTTAATATCAATAGCTGCCCTCTGAGAGCTGTATTTTGTTGCAAATTTTGTAAATGTTATACGACTTCGGTATATTCAGATTTTATTAACACATAATTATTAGATTAGAAAAAATCATTGAAAAAGCCAGTTGTCTATTCTGTTAAAATATATAAACTTTATATATTTTTCAACAGTTATGAATCAGGTTAATTTAACTTATATTAATCACTCTTGTTGGCCTGGCTATTAGCGCACAGGTGGTCTTAATGCGGGAGGAAACCGGAGGACCGGGAGAAAACCCACGTTATCGGGCACTTCATACCTCTTCACATCCGATCGGAGAATCGAATCCCGGCCGCCTTAGTTTAAAATGCTTATTAATGACAAAACCATCCTTAGTTTCAGCAAATAAATAATTAGTTTTGTTGTTACGTCGGTATGAATGCTTCACACGTGTGTTTCCAACCAAGTGCTAATTTTATTCATACAGAGGTGTTAGTACGGCGTCTCGATCTGTGGTACTAAGTAATACTTTGTTAGAGTATTGACTGTCAGACCAAAGTCCAATTAATTTTACTCTGAATTAAACTGATCACTCAATGTAAAAACATCATGGTTCTGTGACGTTACAAACCTCTGAACCTAGGTTTAGGTTAACTGAGGATGAGATTGTGAGAATGATCGAGTTTCTGGTTGACAATACATTTTTAAAGTTCGGTCGCCAGATTTTCCAGCAGACTGTAGGCACGGGAACAAACTCTGCCTCTCTTCAGGCCGTCCTATTTGTTGTTTTCCAGCAGACTGTAGGCACGGGAACAAACTCTGCCTCTCTTTAGGCCGTCTTATTTGTTGTTTTCATATAAGGCTGAATTGATTGAAGAGCTTATCAATACTGGTACCAAGACCAGTTTTTTTGCACATTTCCGGTCCTCGGGTAATTCCCAGTACCAAACAATGTTTGATATACATAAATAACAGATAATATAAATGTATATAGTATCAGCTGTTTCTTGTAGAATTCTCTGATGGTTCATATCCGATCCTGAGGATTTTGATCTTTTAAGCCTTTTTCATTTATGTACGATTTCCAGGGTAATTTTGAGACTGGTACATTGTAATTGGATCCACATTTACCGCTTTGTTATTCTGTAAATGTGTTATCGTGATCTATTTTTTAAACTATCTGAAAGAATTCTGGGTGTCTATTTAGTTTATGTACAGATTTGAATAGTTGTTTCGATATTGCGTATTTCCATAACTCTTCTAGGTTTTCCTTCACTTGTACTTTTACGACCTTCGTTGTGAGTGTCTACTTGATTTCTAGCCTGCAATGTAACACGGTAACATCCCATGTGCTTCAATACTGGCTCCATGATGTAGCCTTACGTTTGATTTTAGACAATGTCTTTTTGTTGAGGGACGGTTTGTGTTCAACGGTCGCTTGATTTTCGGAGACTTCATTTGCTTTGCCGGAATCGTTACATTCATCGAATCTTTTAGTTTTATAAGATTGCCCATTGCTTCTTAGAATCCTTCTTGCATTCCGAGAAATAATCTTGCCAGTTTATGTCCATGTTCCGAGACAATTCCTGATATTATCGTACAAGTACTGAGATTGACTTACACTCTCTAATTCAATGCTCAAATCCCATTTTACTTCAATGACGGGATGGTTCATTTCACTTAGAGGAGAGTTCGTCAGTACAGTTTCAATACAATCGTCTTGGATTAAATCAATGTCACTCAAATATCTACATATTGACTTATGGTTGTTAGTGTACAGTGTGTCGTTGTCCCTACTTCGTTTCTGTGATTTGATTTAGATTGAAATGGCGAACGTCGTTGATGAAGCAGAAGGCACTTAGAACATCTAGTCTTGTTTTTATACTATTGATCTTCAGGTAAACCTATCTTTACATATATGTTGCCCTTTTTATCATCGATTAAGGATTCCAATAACTGTTATATTTATATAATTTAATCTTGCTTGTAACAAGCATTTTCATTGGCTTAAAATATTATGTTATCAGCCCATAACATAAAAAATGACGTCACCATTTGTAACATCGCTTTTGATTGGCTGATACAGCAGCGCAATAATTTCTAAGAGAAAAGAGTCCATCAATACAAGTGGATTTCCACAGGGATTGTGTATAGTAGATTAAATTATAAGGATTAACCTGAATATATTTTTCATGTTATGGAGCTATAACACAAAAACCGGAGTGTATTCTCATCATAAACTGAGTACACTCCGTTTTTTTGTGTTATATCTCCATAACAGGAAAAATATATTCAAGTTAAACCTTAAATATCTCGGTTTTCCCTGCAGAAACTCATTGGCATCTCATCATACCCAGTTACATGTAGCATTCCAATTAAGCAAAATCTTGTAGATTTGGGAAATTAATGTTGAAGTTGGAATATATTCATCTGAGAATGTCGTATATGGTTATTAATCATTCTTTCAGCTTTATTTATCCATAAACCTTCCGAATCGACGTTATTTCTATATACATATGTTCAGTACACGGGCAATATTTGTTCTCACTCAAAGTACAGTACACTGAAGGCGATGACGTGACTGTCGTAATCAAACTCGGATACTGGCCATCGAAATAGAGACCGGGGACGATAATTAGTGCAATTCGTGTCTATTCACCGTCACTTTGGGCAGCTTTTGGACAATACCTGTGTAAGTCAATAATCCAGAGCTAGCATACAAGTAAGTGTATTTAACGTGCTCGTAGACCGTGTAAAGAATTGCAGAGCTTCTTAAATGGAGTTATTTTAGAAGAACTCTGAGAAATAGAATAACTAACGGTAGGTCAAGCTGTAGAGACAAAACACAAGCCGATGGATATGAAATACAGCATATTTTATTTTATGTTTTTAAACAAACAATCTAAACAATCTAACCAAACGTAATTAACAGCTGACACTAAAACAGAAATACGACGTAGTGTTAAACGTAATTAACAGCTTACACTAAAACAGAAATACAACGTAGTGTTAAACGTAATTAACAGCTAACACTAAAACAGGAATACAACGTAGTGTTAAACGTAATTAACAGCTGACACTAAAACAGAAATACAACGTAGTGTTAAACGTAATTAACAGCTTACACTAAAACAGAAATACAACGTAGTGTTAAACTTAATTAACAGCTAACACTAAAACAGAAATACAACGTAGTGTTAAACGAAATATCTTCGAAATCCTGTTCTTATTCACATCTTCTCTTCATAAAAAAATAATCACAGGCCTTAGTCACGAGAATGTTCAAGGACCAACGATGTGTATAGTGAATGTACAATCCTTGGATTTCGAAGATGAACACAAAAGAACAAAAACAAGCAACAGAACTGACTAGAATAAAATAAGCACAGCCAACCTATCTGTCGTATTACCGTGTAGTTTTAATTTAGATACCTGTTTCGGTTTGTGCCGTCGAGACAGATATTTGGAATCCAACGAGCACCTTTCTGACTTAGCCTCAAAATTTCAATATTCAATAGTGTCCTTACAATAGGGAAACATGATCATTTATTTCCCGGAGACGAATAGTGTTTCACGAGGGCAAAATACTTTTTCATGACTAACGGCATCCATCTCTTGTTGTCTGGAGCACATCTGGCGTAAGACATTTGCAAAACAGTCTCCCTTGAGCTATACTCCATAGTGACAATTAACCGCGATAGGGGAAATTTGATCACATGAGGGAAACTCGATCACGTGGATATATTCTCTACCTCTGATAATGTGGTGCGATTATCAATCAGAGACGCATTCTTATAGATGAGGAATAATGATATAGCGAAGGGCAGACAGGTGTTCAGTTTTTTACGTAACAGCACCGACACAAGACTCGTATTACTAGTCTATCATTCAACCTATCTAGTCTACTGTGCCTTCCTCACTAGTCTATCATTCAACCTATCTAGTCTACTGTGCCTTCCTCAGTTTTAACAGTTTCAACCAACTTAGTGTTAACCAACTTAGTGTCGTCAGTGATAGTGTCGTCAGTGATGTCAGTGATAGCGTCGTCAGTGATAGCGTCGTCTTGTTCGTGTTGCTCCGTAAGATCTATAAGGCTGCGTACATCAGCTATGTTTATCGACGGAATGGAATTGTCATCTTTCATCATCAGTAAAGGAGAACTTTTTAAAACGCGTCTTCCTGTCGCCTTATCCAGCAGATATTTTCGCCGGTTCTGTAGAGCCTCGCGGAGACGATTCCAGACAAGCTCGGTATAGGCTGCTAGTTGTGGAGCCGTGGAGATGACGTATTGCATGAAACCCTCGCGTTTCTCTTGAGAAATGTCCTTCCATAAAGGTGCCGAGTCCCATATCCGGACAGACTGCGCAGCGTTTCTGATCAACACAGTGCCCAGACGCTGCGCCTCGGTGGGGTGTCCTCTAACGGGCTTCTTTCCTAAAAGTTCGTCACCCGAAAACCTGGAAATACTACTCGAGACTAAACTCAACATGAACGAGCCCGACTCGTCATATGGATGAGGGCTCGCTATTGCTGTACTGTGGGGATGTGGCGCTTGGTCAAGAGGAGATAGCTGTCTGCGGGGTTCTTCAACAGCCCTCATGTGTTGACCGTTTTCCGGTTTTATTGCGGGAGAGTGTTGACCACGTGCTGGAGACGCTGGCGAGGAACTGGGGATGACTTGTGTTAGACAAACGGGATAGGGGGCCCCAGGACTCTGTCTATGAAGCGGAGACATTTTATTGCCCTTGGACCTCTGCTCTTCCACGGTGCTGGAAACCGTAGCGTTCATCAGCTGTGGACTTCCGTATGAGAACACGGGCCTGTGATCCAGTGCCTTGGGTCTGAGATCAATACATACACCTGTCGTACTGTCCATCCTAGACTCCGGGGGCTCGCGTTTTATGTGATCTGTTGATAACCGCCTTTTTACACTTGCATTATTAAAACTGTCATTTGACAACCTTGATGTCGTATTAATAGACTGCTGTGACCCTCCGCTTCCAAATGATGGCCGTTGTGTGTCTGTGCTAGGCATAAATAACTGTCTCTGACCTGATCCATGGGATGTTTGAGTCTGTGTCTTTGAGGCGGGATTATAACTAGAGAATGACCGGTGTTGGTCTACATTGTTTTGATACACTGGGCGCTGTTCTGGTGCCCTGGGTGGTTGTTGGTGTGACCGGTGTTGGGAGGGTGGTGGGGGAGGTTGGGGAGAGGGGAGGGAACTCAGTGTAGAAGATTTCCCCGAGACTCCTAACTTCAGCTCGCGGATCACCTTCCGTACTATGAACCGATCCTTGAACACCGTGAACGCGTCCCGGATATCCTCCTCGCAGAACTGCAGGAACATGTCGCCGTTGATGCCATTTGCTGTAAAATCGAACGCCAACAATTAGGACAAATAATGGTAGACTCCGATACAGTTTACTAGCCAAGCATTGTTTCAAGTTCATTTTCACTTATCATGCGCCAATACATATACAGTAAAAGTGGAAAGTGAACTTTGCATTGCGAACATTTTGTTATTTTGTCTCAAAAGAGTAACATGTGTAGGATAATAAATCGAAAGGGTTCTGTTTACTATTCACCAGTTTTGAATACAGAAGTGTCTATTCCCAACAGGTCATTGTCAGTAAAACAGAAGTGTCCATTCCCAACCGGTCATTGTCAGTAAAACAGAAGTGTCCATTCCCAACCGGTAATTGTCAGTAAAACAGAAGTGTCCAATCCCAACAGGTCATTGTCAGTAAAACAGAAGTGTCCATTCCCAACAGGTCATTGTCAGTAAAACAGAAGTGTCCATTCCCAACAGGT